TTTATACCCTTGTACGTACTTATTACGTCTCGTTTGATAAATTAATATATAAGAATATTGAAACGAAAACAGGAGCATTCCTCCCATTCCACATCAGTGTGATTTCACGAAAGATTAATGAATTTGGCGCTGGGTAGATATGTTATTGATGAAATAGAACTAGACGTGTTGAACTTACGATCGTTTTTCTGAGAATACTGTAATATGTAGACTGTTATTGAATTTTATAAATCAGTAACTGGTCAGTAGAAGAAAGATCGACTAATAATGGTCGGTGGAATGCTCGTCAAACGCTGCGTCTGTGTTTCCAAGCTTAAAACAATGGTAAGAAAGAATGCAGGGATGAGTGGAGCCGAGAAAAACGGCTTTCATTAAAGACGTAGCAACGAGTGGTAATGAGAAAAACTGGTTACACGGGAAACAGCGGAACCGTGTTTTTATCGAAGCGGAATGTGGCTATCGAAGGACAGCAGTTTTGCTACGTATCCTTGATTACTCTAAAGTGAATGAATCCTGAACCGGTTTGATAACAGTTCAATCATTGACAAAGTACCCATAGAATAAACCATTCATGTAATGCATTTTTGTGTCATAATTAGAAAGTCCGTGTAATTTTTCTATCATAGAAATTGTGATTAAACGTTCGTTCAATCGACCGCCCACGCACGGACTTATTTCAAGCGTTTTAATTTATATATTCAGACGAAATGGCCCCGACGCTTGCGCCACCGACTCGACGGTACAATTTATGGCGCTCGTTGCGCAATTACGTAAGACTCGGAGAGAAGAGATAAATCGAAACCGCGGCGGGTTTTCTTCGACGGTACGTGAATCCACGTCGGTGCGTTGCGCACGAGCATGTGGCAAAAATGAAACGCGAATGTGTATCGCTGCATCTCGGGACGTATGAGGAATAAATAAATCTGCGTGATGAGCAAACCGCGTACAGCTGGAAAGGTAATGCCTTAGACGGGGCAAATGATTCTGCGTGAGGCAATAAATAACCGACGGGGCTAGCATTCTAATTGATTACTCTTTTAGCGTTTGAGTAGGTGGAATGTTCCTTTTTCAGACGATGTAACCCGCGGTCGTTTATTAACCGAGGATTCTTGAAACGAAAGCAACGATCAAGGTAATTTGTGTCAGAAGCAAGATTGCTGGATCTTGGATTCGAATTTCAATCTCTCACCTCTAATCACTGTCACTTATAATTTTATAGCCTTTGTAGCAGAAGGGAGAAAAAAGCGTTTCGTCTCGGGATCGTCTGTCAGACTCGTCAGTGGGAGGCTGACAACAAACGATCCCTGGGGACTCAGACACCTATCATACCGTAATTCGAAACTCCTATGGACTGCATGCCGGGCGACCGCCAGCGAGAACACTGTCATCTCGCCGCCACCTAGCGGTCCCCGGCCCGAACCAAAGGCACCCAGGGAGACGAAACTCTCTCTCCCTCCACTAAACGCCTACACCTTTCTAATTAAATTTAAGGGCCTTTTCGTTATAATACATTGAATGCATTCCAGTCATATCTAATCCCACGCTGTTTCTGATCAAGTACCAAGATCTCGATCCTCCACCACTTTCAGCAGATTCTCACCGTTCGGTTTCTCAAATCGACCATAACGCGGTGGCCATTAATTTTCCCAAAGGTACTCGACGTGACACGAACGTTCGTCGTAACTTCTCGTTGCCGACACGTTCGGGACCATTCCCTATCGTACACGATGGAATCTGTAAAAGGACGAAAGAACGAGGAGGCGGCGCGCGTGCGTGAAAGCGTGAATGCATTCCGGCCTCGCGATGCAACGAAGCCTAGACGCATTAAAGCGTACCCGCGGGGCTGCAATACACATAATACCGCGATGCACACTCGGAAGTATGCGTAAATTCGAGGTGCAAGGTTATGGATGATGTACAACGCATCGACGCCGCTGTAGTTCCTGATTGGTTGGACGGTTGGGAACGAGCTGGCCGTTGCGAAGTGTTCGCAATCGCGGGAGGATGAGAAACGACCTCGTTTTCGCGGGCCGCCTTTCCACGGCCGGATTAACAACGCTGCCGCCAATTTTCCGGAATAATAAGATCGTTCGAGAAAATGGTTTTTCCGGAACAGTTACATTACCATTACACGGGCGCCGCTTGCAGGTGTTCCGTTACCTCGCTTGCTGTTGTTGTTCTTCTTCTTTCAGTTTGTTCGCGCCTTAATGGCCGGCTAACAACTTGTTAATAGTTAAGCGAGTTTAAAAGTGCGCTCGGAAGAACGCCGCTTCCCTGAAACGTGCAGTCGGAAAAAGTTGTAAGTAGTGCTTTTTACGATAACGTTTGATTTGTAAAACTCGTTTAAGATGTTAATTCGCTGCTGAATTAATTTTTTAAAAATCATTAATTGCGAGGTCTCGATAGAAATGAAATCTGATGGTATTCTAACGAATATCTTATAACGAGTTTATGGAGAAAGATCTCTTCCTGTCGCTTCATTATACTCCCTTTGTGTCCTTTAATCGAACCTTCATCCCTCAATATTCATTCTTAACGAAAAGCAACCAGTTACCTATGGGTTCGTTGATCGTCGTCGCGCTACCTTCCATCCAATAAAGCTTACCTTAGGTAAAACTTACGTCATATCTCGGACGATTGGCTTTATCCATGAGCGAACAGTATCAAGCGAAGATCGTTGACCCGATGACCCGCAAGGGAGCCGCGTATGCTTGCCCGATTATATCGATTCGAACCCTATTCGCGACACCCTCCACCAATCGCCATTTTTAGCGAACATTTTTAACGAACAAGTCGCATTGCGTGGATGCATCGATATTTGTCATCGGTATCGATTAATAACGTCGGTACGAACGCTTCTCTATCGATTACGTTCGTCTTGATTGTTCCGCGACGAAATTGTATAATGCAATTGTTCGCTAGCCACAAATTCAGACACCGTCCATAAATCCAAGTTGGAAACTATTGGCTGGAGTGGTTGCTGAATTGATTAGTCGCGCGACTAGCACGACCGAAACCGTGACCTTAATAGTAATTTCTGTGCCATAGCCTTTGCATTGCCTTTATGCTCCTTCCGGTCTCCTCCTTTCACACTGCCGTTCCATGCTGTGCAGCTCGAGTGCGCCGAGCTACGAGCTGAAACGGGATTGAACCCTTGAGAAAAGGTTAAGACCCTAACCGGAGAGGTTGGTAGTAAAGCAACGGAGTATTTGTTAGTCCCCTGCAATCGTCTCTATATTGCGAGGTTTCGTAACTACGGTGATCATAATAATGAAACAATTCGTAACCATAGTGAATAAAATTGGTTTAATTGAAATCATAAATTACTAAACGAAATAAATTGAATCTAAACGAAAAAATATCTAAGGGGTTGATCTCTACAGAATCTGGAGAAAATCAACGCGTCTGTGGTGGTTTTCTTCCCGGCGACGCATCGGCGCCAGCGATATCGCGATTGTCAACGGTGACCCATTTAAATATGATGCGAATTCTTTATGGACATATTTCCTAAGGAGCGTTTTGCCGTAGACGGACCTGTGCCAAGCAATTTCGGACGATACGTATCTCGTGTTGTGCGTTTTGCTAGCCAGTTATATCCGAGCTAGCATATTTCGTGCCGCTTGCTGCATACGAATCGCAACAGACGTTTTACTTGACGAGCAAGAACGAACGATATTAAATGAGACTCGTTCGTTTGCCTTTCTCCGTTGTTCCTGTTTATGCCGGGAATGGAACCATCCAGGGAATGGCACGTGAAAGGTGTTCAACATAAATTTACCGTACAAACTTGGCAAGTAGACGGGGGACGGTCTCGTGAAGCACACGCGGCACCCAGGACCTTCATGCAGAATTCATGCGCGGCCTGAGTTAAGACAGCGAGCACCTAAGGAAGTGTCCATACCTTGAACCATGAGTGAGGTATTTACGAACAGGTGACGTGTCGAGTATAAGGAGCAAAATGTATTTACCTCGTAGGTTTATGTCGCTGAAATATCTTCCGTTTTCATGATATTATAACGGGAACATAGAAAATGTAATGCTATCTGATAACATAAAATTTTGTTGCTGTATTGTGCAACAGAAATCGGTACCAAAATGTAAAATGTCCCTCTCCATTTTAAAGTTCAAATTTTTAGTTTCGTTTCATATTAGGGATAGTCTGACGTGGTCAACGTCGTTTTAAATTTATTGAATCATGTTCCAAGTAAAAAACATGAACAAGATTTCGAGGAAAGATCGATGGGAAAAATCAATAAGACGTTTCCATTCATGAAATCTATGAAGTTTCTCGGTTGAAAAAGGACGGAAGCCGTTATCGTTCGCTCGAGGGAAAGAGGAATCGCGCATCGTACGCAAATTACTTTTTCCCCGTCGACAAAGCGAGTTTCCCACACGCCACAATGACGTTTCTCTTTCTTCCAGTTCTCCTCAAAGCGCGTTCCGCGTTAGATCTCGTCCCGATACGTGCCAATATTCTTTTGGCGAGCGTTCCACGCCCCGAAATACCGACGGAAGTATCAATATTTTCCACGAATTGATAACCACCTTGCACGGTCCGACCACTATAAAGTGTATCGCGGGGGCCACGTTTCGAAAAGTATTGCGTAGCTACGTGCAAAGTGTCTGAGCTGCGAATCGCGGTACGTGAGATTCTCAGCGAATGCATTTTACATGCAGGTCGTCGAGCTGGTGCGCTCGTGGATCGGGAGGGAAACCGGCGGAGCGGGAATGCCGGAAATTTTACCGCTGCTTTATTGCGGCCAGCTTGTTTAGAAACTCGCCGCAACGCGCGAAATATTTAACACGTCCGACCGCTGAACCGTCCCGAAGAAACGCTATTAATAATAAATTTTCCTGGATACCTGTGCGGAAGATGTTCAGGGATTGCAAAGATTGTGCGCGTTCGAATTTTGGCGAAGTCCGTGCGATGATATTTCAGGAAAGGTTGAAGAAAGATACGAAAAGACAAAAAGGTTAATGTTATTGCTGTTTTATTGCAGACGGCTTATTTAAAAACTTGGAACGTAACACGAGAATCGTCCATGGGAAATAGAAAAGTTACACGGTTCAGACGGCTAACGACTGTGAATCAGCAGAGGGATGGTGCGAGGGCGGAAGTGCAGTAGGGTGCGTGTACCACTGGGTTGCTTTATTTCAAAATCTTCCATTCATCGTGAAAATTTCACGCAGATTCCTCATTGTTTCAGAAACAGGAAGCCCTGGCTTTTATGGCCGGTTGTAAACTAGAAGACGGTCTAATTAGAAAATTAACCGAGTTTCGACAACGCCCACAAGAAGCATTCCGCTTATGCGTTGTCGAGGGAGTTTTCTGCATAGATTACGTTGAAATGCGCACGCCGGATGTATTACCGTCTGGTTAACTGCTTTGAATACACCAGTGACTATGACTACAAAAAGACTGAACATGTCTTTATTCTCGAAAAATAAATAATTGTTTGAAAAATTTGTAGTCACTTCATGTGTTTTGGTAAATAAATCATTTTAGAAAAGCAACTGATTTATTATTTAATTTATCCAATTTCCTTTACCCAAATCAGACTTAAATTACAACACAGTAACTACTTCCCAATATGAGAAATTGCACCTAGAGCGAGGTGAAACCTAGTCACTCTTTACCCGACCGCCGAGAGATGTGGGTCTACCTGTTAAACATACATATAGCCTTATTTTATTTTGTGGGTTTATTTAATATGCTGTATTTACCTTTTTAGCTTATTGAATAAACCCATTAGGGGGATGAACTTCAAGGTTTTATTCCTCCTGTGTGCCTAGTCTCACTATCCTTTTATTTACTATTTTACTTCTATTTGAGAGCTTCGCGGGGACCACCCTGTGAAGTCCTTTATCACTTTACTCCCCGTTATGGGACTCGCTACAACCACCCCCAAACCACCCGTATCACTTGTATGCCTGTATTCATGCATCTCTTATATCCCTACATTCCTTATACCTCCGTATTCGTTATATTTCTGCATCTCTTGCATCCCAGAATTTTTTGTCTCCCTGCATCTTTTACATCTCTGCATCCCTTATACCTCTGCATTAGATGTCACCAAGCCTTCCATCGCAACATTCTTTGTATCTCCACATCCCACCATCGCTGCATTGCGCCCTCTAGCGGCAAAAATGTGAACTAAATTTTCGATGTCGAATCAGCGCCCTCTGGGGGCAAAAAAGGAACTAAAGCCTGCAAAGATTTTGGCCCTCTGGCGGCAAAAATGTGAACTAAATTTTCGATGTCGAATAAGCGCCCTCTGGGGACAAAAAAGGAACTAAAGCTTGCAAAAGTTTTGGCCCTCTAGCGGCAAAAATGTCAACTAAATTTTCGACGTCGAACCAGCGCCCTCTGGTGGCCAAAAAAGGAACTACATCTTGTAAAAATTTTGGCTCTCTAGCGGGAAAAATGTGAACTAAATTTTTCAGATCGAAGCAACGTCCTCTAGCGGTGAAAAAAGGAACTACGGAATGTAAAGGATTCCGGTATACAAGGGTCGCAGGGATGTAAAGGATTCCGTTGTGTAAGGATTGTAGTGATATAGGGGATACAGAGATGTAAGTGATGCTGGGATGTAACAAATACAAGAATACAGGGCACATGGATATAGAGGAGATAAGGGTTGGAGTGTTGCAGCGATGTAGGGATTAGGACGATATAGGAATACAAAGAGACAGGGATGCAAGGATGCAAGGTATACCGTGTGGTTCTCTTGAGGCCCATAGTGAAGGAATAGCTAAGAAAATTACTAAATTAAGTTAGCTCGGAATATAAATTCAAGATATACATATATATGTTTAGCAGGTAGGTTTGCACCCTTCGACGGTCACGATAAGAGTGACGTGGTTTCAGCTTCCTTTAGGTTGAATGATTGACAGCGGTGCATGGTGCTCGCTCACCTCCGCCGTGGACGGCTACATTAAAGTAATTTATTAAAGATCAAACAGTTGTTGAATGTTATATAAATAAATAACTAAGAACAGAATTTAAATGAATTATTTAACTTGGATATTGGTTGAAGGAAGTTGGGTAAATTTAATAACGACTCAGCTGCTCCTTAAAAATAATTTATTTGTCAAAGTGCACGAAATGGATACAAGTTTGTTAAACAATTATTGCAATAATTTATTGGTCTTGTGCTGATTTGGACTGATTTCCAAAAAAATAAGAATCAAAGGGACTAACAATTGTCTTCAGTTATGAGTACGAGGTGTAGTGAAAGAAGAACTGGTCAAGCAGTCTTGACTGTCATACGTACTGGGCTCTTTACGTGCAGATCTATCCTCAGTTGGAGATGTCTAGGATCTCCAAAATCATGACCTCTCGAGGCATGCGGTCTTTTTTTGTATCTGTAGTCACTGCTTACACTCTGCTTTAAAGTTGCGATGTAATGTAGTAGATGTTCTGAAAAAAGAATTCGAATTAATCATAAAAAGTAAATCTTATTTTGAACAATTAAAAGATCAAGTCATACTGAATCATGAATCATGTGGTTTCAAAATTACTAGTGGTTATCGTTTTTGAAGAGACTGGAAGGTATTAATTTATGTTTGGATGGAATCGAGTCCGTCACGTATAAAGTCGTCTTATTACCCGCGAGTATTTCTATATCGAACGTAAAAGAGTCTTCGCAAGAGGAGCGATTCCTTGGAGCACGTATTAAAATCGGCGATATTTCAGAAGAGCAATTTCAGTTTGCCAGCATCACGTGCGCTCTACTATAAATAATCGCAATTGTTACCGACTGGAAATTGGTTATTCCTTGTCACACAACGATATGCTGTTTGAAAATACCGTTCTACCATTATTTGGGTCATCTTATCGAGCAAGACGTGTCCGTCGACGCGATGAATAAATTTTCGAACAATACAAAGCGAACCGTCTGAGGTCAACGAATAACTATTAATAGCGTTTATAAGTCGAATTTATGTCGGTGGTTTAACGCATTCGGATCGTTTAACGATACAGTAACCAGCGAAGATAGGTCGAGAAATATTGTATACTCGATCGTCATAAATATAGTAAGCTGAATTTTATTGTCGCTTTATATAAAATGATGTTTTTCTAACCTTTTGAGGAATGAATGATCGTGTTTAACGAGTAGACGTCATCCAAAAAGATTGCCTATCAATATTTTCTCGATATTCAAATAAAGCAACACATTTTCATAAAACAAATAAAAATTTCAATTTATCAATAGATTTAATTTCATAAAAGAAGCGATAAACTTTCGGAATAGAAACATAAAAGTTGCGGGAATATGTAGCGTTAATTGAAGAGTTTCTGGTGCTGTTGCACGGCTCTGACCACGGTTGGATATCATTTCCACCCTACGAACGTTTGAATTGCTTTTGAAAGTTTCGATATACGCGTCGAAATGTCCCGCAAGAGGGTAGTTTTCGACGAGTGGATTAATACGTCGCGTTCCAACGCACGCCAATCCAGCGGTACGCGAAATAATGAAAGTCGAACCGACAAATGGACCCGTTGAATTTATCTTAGCCAGCTTTCCACCACCGGTATTTCGGGATACACACAAGCGGGTACGTGGCGTGCAGCTGCACCGACCGACATATTGCACTTCAACCGAGATTTTCGCGATCGTGCGAGAATCACGCGCGACCGACCAGCGAAAAGTGCATTGACCAAAATGAGCCTGGTTGTAGGGAGATCGCGTACCCAGCCGTTCGTATCGATTCTGTGCGAAGTGCCGATAAGAGCTGTCAGCCGAACAGCACTTTATAACGAGGGAATGAGGCGTAAAAGGGACAGAGTAAGGGTGGAAAGAGGAAAAAAAGAGAGAGAAAGGTTGCACAAAGTTTCCTGAAAATTGTCCTACGCCCTGCGTCTTATCGCGAACGCCTCTCGCAAATGGCAGGGAAAAAGAAATTGCCACGCGTCTCTACCAAACTGTGAACTCCTGGTTAGGTGGATGGAAAGAACCTGTGAAAATGTGAGTTCATCCCGTCGAACCGATAGGGTGATTTATTTCGTCGTGGTAAATGGCTCGGGTTCGATCGACGCTGAATATTAAAGATTATAATAGATCGTTAACCGCTCGAACCAACCCGAATTTTTCACGCGTCGTCGCTGTTAACAGTTACGTATTTACGTCATCGCTCTTCCGTTTCATCAACCAGCACCGGGCACCGTAATAAATTCGATCAGGGTAGAACGAAAAAAGTAGCGGCGGCGAAGGGATTTAAAAAAACTTTCATCAGAGATAAAGGGGTCCGCGGACGAGCTTTCACGCACACCGCAGATTTATTTGCGGCTTCCCCGAGAGATTAAAAAACTGATCCAGCGACGAGTAAATCCAGCGCGACTAATTCGAGCCTAGAGCACGCTGGTTTTCGCTAGTTCCACGGCTTAAGACTTACCATTGTGTCTCGGTCACCAGACTTCCGCCAGATTCTCCAGTGTCCCTCTTTCCGCTTCCACCGAATCGCGCGATTACCGCTTCGTCCTTATTTACGACAGCTTTCTTCCTTTCGTCCTTCGTCGTTGGCAGTTTGTCAAAGTTGTGCGAGTTCGTTCAACATCGTAAATTAATTGTTGCCTCCAATTAACCCTTCGCCCTCGCCTGTGGAATTAGGAGGTCCCGACCGCGCCCAGGACCAGATCCCTGTGCAAACACCATAATTATTTAAGGTCCTTCGCCTCTGAATTCGTGCTTCTTAACTGTTTTATGAAATGTATACAGGGAGACGGCGTATTGTTCCGGTAATCGGCCGGACCAGGGTTTACCCAAGTGTTTCCCCTTTGATGAATTGTAAAGGTTTACTGTCGCGTTACGGGGTTAACGGGATTAATTCGCGCCATTGGGCGATTTTAATTATCGTCCGTGCGCGATGTTTGAATTCGGAAGGTTAACCCATCAAGTTGGGTCGGAAACAATGACTAACTTTAGAATTTAATTCCCTATGAAAAATGATAAAATGTCGTATTCAATCATTTTGTTAAAAATTAGATAATTTAACGAGTATATAATCGTTTCAGGAGCAAGTTATACGTACGTGGATCAATAACGATGGCAGAGAAACTACTGGTGGTTAATGTACTCGTGTAACTGATTCGTCGGTGGCACGTGGAAAATCGTTCGCATGCAACGGGGAAGAGACTTCGGTCGGTAATTAATTACAATCAATATTCCCTAATCTTCGGCTGCCAGGAACTCTGCAAGTGGGCTACGTATTCCGTAAGGAGCATTTATCACGTTAAAACGAACCACTTCTGTTCCGAAGTTCGAACTGGTTATTACCATCCGAAGTGAGTTCCAGTCACCCATCGCAGTCCGATCGAGCGAAATACCGGTATATCCCTGCTGGAGGACCGATAAAACTCCGGTTATCAGAGTGGCGACGAACGAAAGCAGGCTGAGAGAAAGAGAGAGAGAGAGAGAGAAGGGGTGGTAGGGTAAGAGAAAGGAGAGGGTGAGCAAGCTTCTACCTCAGAACTAAGCAAGTCACGCACGCACAATCTCCATACATCACCGTCGGAGCGTGTAAACTTTTCAACTGCCTCGCATATCCTGCCTCTGCCGACTACCCTCCGGCGTCTGAGTCTCTTTCTGTACACCGATTTTCCTTCCTTCTACTTGTCGTTTCACGTACACACCAGTTCTACTGCGCGCCTCCGTAGCCACACCAGCTTATCGTACACCCAGCCCACTGGCGCGGGGCCACAAATTATTGAAGCTCAATTGAAGCGAGGAAAGACTTCGACCGACTAAACGCAGTTCGATTCTCTCCGTTGGACTCCGTTTTATAACCTTCGTTCCATCTTCTACCTGTATCTCCGTTCTGTTATCACGATCTTGCTATGTGTACACGCCTGTTCATAAGTCAATAAAGATTTCTTACCATAGTTTTAGTTTTATGTTTAATTTAACCTTCCCAATTTAATATTTCACGTGGCTAATTGAAATTTTGTCACATATAAATTACTATAGATTTTAAAATATTTACGGTATTATATTCTGGTATTCTTAATTATAATCAAAACAACGAACTGCTGTATTTTAATGTTTAAGTTTCTTACCATAAGTTTTGAAATAATGCGATGTAAACCAAGAAAGGTGTTCCCTAACTTGTAGACGAGAGTGTACGTCTATCCTCGTCCACGATGTTCTTTACCTTTTACCTCGAACCCCTTTCG